GCCCACGTCCACCTCTCCCATGGGGACACCTCCAAATGGGGGCCTCCTGCCAGCTCTTTGAGGGGAGACCCTTGGCTACCTCTCCCGGGGGACCCCTCTCAAAGGGACCTCTCCCATGGGGACACCTCCAAATGGGGACCTCCTGCCAGCTGCCCAAGAGGGGACCCCTCTTTTGAGGGGGGACCCCTGCCCACCTCTCCTGGGGGACCCCTCTCAAAGGGACCTCTCCCATGGGGACATCTCCAAATGGGCACCTCCTGCCAGCTCTTTGAGGGGGGACCCCTGCTCACCTCTCCCAGAGGACCCCTCTCAAAGGGATCTCTCCCAGGGAGACCCTTGCCCACCTCTCCCATGGGGACACCCCGAATGGGGACCTCCTGCCAGCTGCCCAAGGGGGGACCTCTCTCAAAGGGACCTCTGCCAGGGGGGCCCACGTCCACCTCTCCCATGCGGACACCTCCAAATGGGGACCTCCTGCCAGCTCATTGAGAGGAGACCCCTGCCCACCTCTCCCAGGGACACCCTTGCCCACCTCTCCCATGGGGACACCCCGAATGGGGACCTCCTGCCAGCTGCCCAAGGGGGACCCACATCCACCTCTCCCAGGGGGACACCTCCAAATGGGGACCTCCTGCCAGCTCTTTGAGGGGAGACCCTTGCTCACCTCTCCTGGGGACCCCTCTCAAAGGGATCTCTCCCCGGGGGACCCTGGCCCACCTCGCCCATGGGGACACTTCCAAATGGGGACCTCCTGCCAGCTGCCCAAGGGGGGACCCCTCTCAAGGACACCTTTGCCAGGGGGGGCCACATCCACTTCTCCCAGGGGGACACCTCCAAATAGGGGGCCTCCTTCCACCACTCAAGGCGTGGGGCAACTTTGGCCACCTCTGCAAATGGGGGACCCCACTCAAGGGGACCCTTTCTATATGGGGGCCCTATCCACCTGTCCCATGGGGACATCTCCAGATGGGGATCTCTATCCATCTCTTCAAGGGGGGACCCTTAGCTACCTGTCCTGGGGGACCCCTCTCAAGGGGACTTCCTCCAGGCAGGGCCCTGTCCACTTCTCCCATGGGCATGTCTCCACATGGGGACCTGAATCCATCTCTCCCATGGGGACATCTCCAAATGGGAATCCTCTTTCACCTCTCCAAGGGGGGGACCCCTCCAAAAGGGATCTCTTCCAGGGGGACCCATGCCCACCTGTCTCAAGACACCCCCAAATGGGGGACCTCCTTTCATGTTTCCAAGGGGGGGCCCTTGGCCCCCTCTCCAAATGGGGGACCTCTCTCCCAAGGGGACCTTTTCCAGGGGGATGACCCCTGTCCACATCTCCCATTCAGATGTCTCCAAATGGGGGAGCTCCTCTGCCCCTCCCAAGGTGCTCTCTCCAACAAGGACCCTCTTCTGCCCCTCCAAATGGGACCCTCTGGCCTCTCTCAGGGGGACATCTCCAAATGGGGGAGCTCGCTCTACCCTTTCATGGGGACCCCCTCCAAAGTGATTGTATACAAGAGGGACCTATATTCACCTCTCCAAGGAGATCTTCTCCAAATGGAGGACCCTCTCCAAAGAGACCCCTTCTGCCTCTCCAAAGGAGACACCTCCAAATGGGAAGATCCTTTCTGCCTTTACAAGAAAGGACCTTCCAAGGGGGGACCCCACTCTAAAGGGGACCCCTCCAAGGGCTCCTCTCCACCCTGACCTCCCCTCTCTCTCTCTCGCCTCCAGGCTTCCTGATCTCCAAGTGCTGCTTCCCCATCTTCAAAGCCAAGACTGGCAAAGCCAAGCGAGTCCGGACCATCTTCACCAGTGACCAGCTGGCCCGGCTGGAGAAGGAGTTTGCACGACAGCAGTACATGGTGGGCACGGAAAGGTGCCTGCTCGCCTCTTCCCTGCACCTCACTGAAGAGCAGGTAAGCCCCACCGTGCTCCATCTCCACCTGCCCCCACCAGCAGGTCCAGGGAGGCTCCCAAACCTGTGTGCCAGTGGGTGGGACCTGGGCCGTGTCCCTCAGACTGGGGCAGGAGCCGTGTAGGTAGTAGTTGCAGATGGTTTACATTAAAAAAGGTGGAGGATCACAGATGGGGAAACTGAGTCACAAAGCGGTTGTCCTAAGGCCACGTGGAGGGGTTGAACTTGTGTCCGTCTTAAGGCTGGACCTTCTCCACTGCTGGCAGGTCCTGGCTCACCAATGCAGGCTCAGCTCCTGGGCTGCAGGGGACAGTTTTAGAACCATCAAATCGTTTAGGTTGGAAAAGACCTTTAAGATCATCCAGTCCAACCATTAACCTAACACTGCCAACTCCACCACTAAACCAATTAAAGGTAGAGTAAGAATTTCATGTTTCCTGGCTTGGTGGCTGGATTATTTTTTAATGAAAGTAAAAACTAGGAACCACTAAGGTTGGAAAGGACCTCTAAGATCATCAGTCCAACCGTCAACCCAACACCCCCATGCCCACTAAACCATGTCCCAAAGTGCCACATCTGCCCATTTTTTGAACCCCTCCAGGGATGGGGACTCCCCCACCTCTCTGGGCAGCCTGTTCCAATGCCTGACCACTCTTTCTGTGAAGAAATTTTTCCTAATATCCAGTCTAAACCTCCCCTGGCCCAACTTGAGGCCATTTCCTCTCATTTCCATCTTGCTAGGGACAGAGTGGGGCAGGGGACTTCTGTCCTGGCCGGCCAGGGGATGTCTGAGGGCACCTAAGGGTTTGTGGAGTGCCTGGGCACTGCCTGAGCCACGGGGGTTTAGCAGACCATGGTCCATGGAGAAACCAGGTCTGAAAATGGAGCTTTACCTCTTCCTAAGGTGAAAGTCTGGTTCCAAAACCGAAGGATCAAGTGGAGAAAACAAAGCCTGGAACAGCAACAAGCCAAACTGGCCAAAATGGGTTTGGCCACCCCGCAGAGGAGCCCGGACTCGCAGAGCCACCACGGTGAGGAGGACAAGGAGTTCCCAATGGAGTCAGAGGACGGCCAGGAGGACACGGCCTCCTCCCCGGGTTCAGGGACAGCACCCGCACAGACTGTGGCAAAGAGCTGCTGAATCGCCCCTTCGGGCTGCTTTTCCGTGTGTATTATATGAATGTATCATAGCTGGCATTGAGCGTATCTAATATATACAGGGCAACAATTATTTTTGCAGTGCGAAAATAAATTATTTATGCAACTCTTGGGCTCATCTTTGGAGGAGGAGGAGGAGGAACAACACACACCTGCAGTGGCAGCAAGTGTTTGGTGGGGGGTCGTTCATGGGAGCCAGCCCAGGAGGACTGGGGGAGTAGGGGCCACCTGCACACCCCACCCACATTCAACCCTGTAGCCAGGCTCATCCCAAAGGCGCTGGGTGCTCAGATACCTCCTTGCACTCTAAAATAACTCGGGACCTTCACAGAGCCCAGCTCCTTGTAGAGGACCTCCATCCCGCGGTCCATCCATCTCCACCTTCCTTCCTGACAGCAGCATCTTCACCACAAAGCCCTGCTCCACCCACCACGGCTCACACATCCCGATCCAGTGATGGCATCCTGCTCCCTGGGGCTTTCGGAGCCAGGAAAGTTGGGAAAACCAGGGAAAGCGTACCTGGAGAGCAGAGCTGGCGGTGGCTTTGTGAGCTGGACACCTGGGGTGCCATCTCAGCTGGGCAAGGATTAGCCAGGTTTTAATTTTAATTGCTTGGCCCTGCTTAGGCAGATGTAGAGGTTTCCAATCCAGCAGGTTTGGGCTGGACACGGGCCTGGGGATGAGCCAAGGGTGGGCTCTGTGAAGAGCTGGGGAGCAAGCGAGTACCAACAGCCCTGGACCTCCTAGATAAGAGCAGCAATGGGGAAATTTGGGTGCTCACCCAGGCAGCACCAGCTCCTGCTAAGCGTATTTTCTCCACGTCTGCTCTGGGCTTGCGGCTGGAGGAAGAAGGGACCCAGGCGGAGGGTTTATTTGGGCAGGTGTGAAACCTTATGCAAGAAGAGGGGATGAGACAAGGAGAAGGGGACGATCCAAGGAGAAAGGGGACGATCCAAGGAGAAAGGGGACAATTATGAAGGGGATGGGGCAAGGAGAAGGGACAGCAGAAGGAGAGGGGGATGATGCAAGGAGAGGAGATGATGCCAGAAGGGGATGGTGCAAGGAGAAGGGGACAGTGCAAGGAGAAGCGGAATGATGCCAAGAGAGGGGGAATGATGCTAGGAGGTGAGGACGGTGCAAGGAGAAGGGGACAATATAAGAAGGGGACAATGCAAGGAGAGAGGAATGGTGTAAGGAGAGGGATGGTGCAAGGGGAGGGGGACGATGCAAGGAAAAGGGGGACGACGCAAGGAGAAGGGGATGGTGCAAGGAGACGGGGACGATGCAGGAAAAGGGGACAGTGCAAGAAGAAGGGGATGGCACCAGGAGAAGGGGACGACGTGACGGAAGCTGCCCTTTGTTCCAGCTGTTTTCAGAGCCGGGATTAGCCAGCGCGTCTCAAAGAGCCCAAACTGTGCTAATGTCTTCACATGTCTGCCGAGAGCCCAGGCTGCGCCGGCGGGTTTAACCCGCTAATCTCGCATGCTGGTGGGTTTATTGCAACCATCCCCGAGACAACAGGGCTTACGGGGGATGTTTTAATATCGCCTGGCCGGGGGCCGAGCTGATTGCGAGAGTTAAGTTGTTCTCAGGACACCTTTAATCCCCTGGGAGCTGGCAGCGCTCCGCCTTGGGCAGAATTGGGCCTTTCGGCGGTGCCGGGCTCCTCCGGGCTGGGCAGCGGGGGACCGGTCCCCGCGCCGGGGGATGCTCCGGCAGCGTCTGCTCAGCTCGGACCCCTCTGCGGGCAGCATCCGACCGGGGAAATGACTTTAATTAAAACTGCTGGGCTTGATTTGAGTTTTTCAAAAGGTGACTTTTCTATGAGGTGAAGTAAACCACATCCCATCCCTCCGGCACCTTGGGCTTTGGCTGGGAGCCTTTTCTCATGGTGGGTGATGATCCTTGAGGAGGTGGCCGGTCCCTGGGGGTAGCACAGGGCTCGGGACGCCTGTGTCCCCTTTCCTACCTGCCAGGGGACAGCCGGGTGCCGGGAAAGGCCATCCCCTGCCTTCCTTCCACCCAGTGATTAACCTGTTTGCAAGTTCCTTAGGGTGAGGAAGGCAGCATATCCGCAGGGCAAAGCAGCCCATCGCTGCTCCAGTGGGATGAGAAGAGCCAAACGCCCAGGTCTGACCCTGATAATGGGATGGAGTCGATGGTTTTCAGAAAAGCTGGATTCAGCTGGGTTATTTTACACCTTGCCAAGTCCCTGCTGGCCCTGGCATCCCAGAAAGGGGGTAGAAATGCAGTTTTCTTCTCCCATCGGAGATATCTCCCTCCCCGATCCGGGGAGCAGGTCTTGCAGCCGAGCCCAACTCCTGGCAGCTCGACCGGGGGCACATGGCTTGGGATCAAACCCGGGCACAGCGATTTGGCACCGTGGAAAATAAGGGAGAGAGATGCTCCGAGAGCTTGGCAAGGTCTTGTGCTGGATCAACCCACGCGGGGCACAGCCTTGGCTCCTCTCCTGCTCCAGGAAAGCCTGTACAGAATAAGAGCGTTTTGGCTTGCGTGTCCTTACCCAGACCCCATGCATGTCCCCAAAACCCTGCTAAGTCGCTTCCCAATCCCGTATCACTTTGCTGTCTTAAAGACACTGTTTTTTTCACCTGTCTGCCAAAAAATGAGTTGGCTTTCAGTGGCAGATAATTACAAGGAAGTGAGAATTAAGCAGCCTTATTAAGAGGATAAAGGTTATCTGCTAAAGATGCAGCGCTGAGTCCTCCCCGGCAAATCTCCACTCTGTAGATAAGTAGAATCATAGAATCATCGAATTGTTTAGGTTGGAAAAGACCTTTAAGATCATCCGGTCCAACCATTAACCTGACACTGCTAACTCCACCACTAAACCAGTTAAGGGGAGAGTAGCAATTTCGTGTTTCCTGGCTTGGTGGCTGGATTATTTTTAATGAAAAAGTAGGCTTGTAGGAGGACAGGTAGGTTGCGAGAGGGGTGCGTGGGTGGATTAGGGTGGACTGTGAGGGGTGTGCGGATGGATTAGGGTGGACTGTGAGGGGTGTGCGGATGGATTAGGGTGGACTGTGAGGGGTGTGCGGATGGATTAGGGTGGACTGTGAGGGGTGTGCGGATGGATTAGGTGGTGGGCGGATGGATTAGGTTTGACTTTGAGGGGTGTGCGGATGGATTAGGGTGGACTGTTTGCCCAGAGGAACAGCCTGTTCTGCCCGTGGATAAGCTGGATGGGTGGATGATTGGGGATGAATGCAGGGCGCTGGCGAAGAGGTGTAAATGGATAAATGGGATGGGAGACGGAGGGAGAGATAGGAGAAGGGATAACCAGGTGGAGCTGTGGCACACGGCTCCTCCGTGTCCCCCTCCCCGCTGTCATTCCTGCCAGGATTATTCCTCCTGAGCACATGGCGCCGGAGGCGCTTTGTTTCGCCCGGTCGCGCTCAGGAAGTTCGCAGGATGGGGCGTTTGGATGTTGGAGCCGCAGGAGCCCTCCAGCCCCCTCCAGCCCCGTGACCCAGCCGCTTTCCCAGGCCCCTTTTGCATCCCTTCCCCGAGCCGGCAGCTCCCTTCTCCTCGGCTGATTGCCCCCTCACGCTCTCTTTTCGGGGGGTTTTGCTAAATGGGATTACCCTGTGCCGAGGACGGGCCGGGGTGCCGTGGAGGGCAAACTTCTGGCGGCGGAGGTTCAAGGCAAAGCCCGACCCGAGCTGGGATGCTGGGCGCCGG